AACACCGGGATGGGGAACGGAGGGAGCGCAAACACTGGGATGGGGAATGGAAGGATGGGGAACACCGGGATGGGGAACACCAGGATGGGTAACGGAGGGAGTGGGAACGTCGGGATAAGGGGGTCCAGATGGATCGGGAACCAAGGGGTAGGGAACAGCTGGATGAGGGAACAGATGGATCGGGAACGGCTGGATATGGGGGCAGCTGGATCCATGGGGGCACAGCTGGATCTGTGGGGGCACAGCTGGATCCGTGGGGGCACAGCTGGATCCGTGGGGACACAGCCAAATCCATAGGAACATAGCTGGATCCATGGGGGCACAGCTGGATATATCAGGGTATCATCTGGATTTCAGGCCTCACACCCCCATCTAGGATGCAGGGACAAACCCGAAACTCTTCCTATGGGGCAGCCCAGAGGGAAAACACCTCTTTGGAAGGTGCCAGCACCAAGAAATCCCTCTGTAAAGTCTCTCTGTGGAGTCACCCAGGGGAGGGGAAGGGCCTGTGGCTGGGAGGGTGTTTTTTATTCCGGGGGGAAATTCACTCTGCAGAGCATTGGATTCCCTTCCTCACCCACCAGCTCTGTCCTGGAGGAAACAGGATTAAATGTTTCATTTCGGGGAGTGAAGCTGTGCCAAAGGGAAAGAGATCCATGTGTTTGGAAAGAGCCCTGGTTCCAGTGGAAGCCTCTGTCGGGCTGGGACTGTTCATCCATCCCGGGACCAAGTCCCGGAACCAAGTCCTGGAAACGCAGCCTGGCCTGTGGCTGTTTTAAAGTGCGTTTTAAAGTGTGTTTTTTAAGTGTTTTCCATTGTAAAATGTTTCTGGCAGAAGTCAGAGCCCGCATTCTGCCTGGTGGGAACATCCCAGGCACTGGGGAGAGACGGAGCAGCAGAGCCAGATGGGAATAACGGGGATCTTCCCAGCACGGCTTTGTGCCCTGAATTACACCAGAAACTGCATTATTTCTGGTATGAAAATAAAACCAGGGCAAGCAGGGAACATAAATAGATTTTACGAGAGTTTTTAAGGGGGGGGGGGGGGGGGGAAGCTCAGCAAACACAGATTTTTGGCCCCCCCCCCCCCCTTCAGTTTATTTTTGAGGCGAAATATGGAAAATCTGGATGGAAACAGGCTGGATGGAAATGTCTCTTCTCCGATTTAATGTCCTGACACGTTACAGGACACTGAGGTGCAGAGGGGCCGATTTTCTGCACAGAAGGGGCTGCTTTATTTCCTCATCCAGCGCCTGGGAGGGAGCGCACAGGGAGCCCTGGGAAAAGAAGAGAGGGAGAGAAAAGGAGGAGCGGCGGAAGGGAGGTAAGGAAAAAAAAAACGGTGGCACCGTCCCTGGGTGGGCTCGAACCACCAACCTTTCGGTTAACAGCCGAACGCGCTAACCGATTGCGCCACAGAGACCGCGCTGCGAGCGCCGCTGCGCCCGCCGCACTCAGCGGGGACCGGGAGAACGGGGAGAACGAACGGGAATGGGGGCACCGGGAGAACGGGGAGAACGGGAATGGGGGCACCCGGATAACGGGGCCGGGGGCAGCGGGATAACGGGGCTGCAGGGACTGGCAAACGGGGCATCGGGGCTGGGGAAACCGGGGGATGGGGACACCGGCACCGGGATACCGAGGCTGCAGGCACTGGGAATAGGGATACTGGGGCTGGGTGGACAGGGAATAGGGATAGCCGCACCGGAACACCGGGAACGGTGTTGGGGCCGGGATACTGGGAAGCAGGGCACCGGCACCGGGAACCGGGATACCGGGAAACGGGGCCCCGAGCCCCTGGGACCTTGGTGCGGGTACCGGCACCCGGTAACCCGGTGGGCACCGCGACACCGGCAGCGCCCGCCCGCTCCTCTCCCTGCCCCCTTCCCCCTCTTTTAATTCTTTCCCGTTCTTCCTTTTTCTATATTTTTTTATTCTCCCTCCTTCCCTTTTCCTGCCTTTTCCCCCTTTCCTCCGTCCTTTACTTTTTATAACCTTTTTTTCTTTCCTTTTCTCTTATTCTTTTTTCCCCCCTTCCTTTTCCATTTTCCCTCCCTTTCTCTAATTCCCATTTTTCCTCCATTTCTTTCTCCCCTCCGTTTTATTTTTTTCCTTCTCTTTCTCTAATTTTCCCCAATATTTTTTCCCTTCCTTCCCCCTTTCCTTTCTCCCCATCCTTTTCCATTTTCTCCTTTCTCTAATTTACCTGTACTTTCTTCCCTTCTCTTTCCCCCTTTCCCCCCTTTTCCATTTTCCCATT